CCACCCCCACGATTCACTACCAAATCGCATGTACAATGGCTTCCGAGCCACCAGTCTTCCTTCAAAACAAATTGGCGGTACAAAATCACAAAAATCATTTTAGCAGCATTAATTTCTATCCGAAATGTCTATGAGATGGTCACTATTTTTACATTGAAACAGAAAGCACGAATTTGGATTTCATGTTGCCATTTTGTTCGAACACATTCAAGATGGCGGCAACAAAACGCAACTTTTGTTTGCAAATTGTTGAACTTCATTTAACTCTAAAATTGACTGTCTTTTTTCGGAACGTTGTAGTAAAAATACTTTTTAGTTATAGCCCATTTTATCGTTTTTTAGTTTAAAGGTAAGTTAGTTTTATTTTAGTGTATGGTGGTAATATTGTTTTATAATTTTGTTGTTACATTTCTAATATTTCTCTTAATTGTCAATATTTTTAAGCACTGCCGAATGATCGTATTTCTGATGTTGCATAATTTAATGGTAAATGAATTACTCCATCCATATTTATATTTACAATCTAGTCGTAACGGCGGATATCTTAATGTATATATTTCATTATATAAATTTTTTATATTTATTAAAAACAAGGTCATGGTTTCCAGTGATCGTAATTTTATTTGTATATGCATTTCAATGGAAATTAGTACATGATAGAATATATGGCAACACAAGTGAAGATAATAATCTGACATTTTTTACAAAACAGTACGAATTTACGATTTTAAAAATCTAATTAGATTTTTCTGTTATTCAAAATGCGGTTTCATATTTCAATGGCTTCAAATAATACTTGTATACATTTTTTTATGATTCGCGAATAATCTTTTTACAGTTTTAATAATTAATAAATAAAATTGTAGAAATTAGTAGGTTTTAGATGTAAGTATTAAAACGCACAAACATTGGTTCCATAGAGTAATTAAATATTTTGCACTTTTTAGTGCCAACTTTCACGTGTCTTCCACGAATTTTGTACCGTGGATGTTTTAATAGTGAGATTTAAATAAGAAAATTATTATTAACTAGTAAAACAAGTTTATTTGGAAACTAACATTTGTAATTTTTTTTAAGCTTTTTTAAATTAATAACAATGTGAAATAAAGACAATTTGTAAGAAATATTTTTGAATTATGTACAGCAATCAGTGCATGTGTTGCCTACTTAATATAGTTTTTTTAGTTTTATAAATTAGGTTGATACGGTTAGCAAATAGGCTTTATTGCATAATTTTACTTTAGTTACCATAAATATGTTATGAATGCTCAATAGTGTGGTATCTTTTTATACTTGCAATCATTGTATATTGAGAAATAAAATGTTATATTCAATTTGTTGTTTTATTTAATTTATTGGTATTAAATATAAAATTATTCATCACGGCGTTATAGTATTTCTTTTTTTTGAATGCCTAGAAATATATTTTTCTGTAAATGAAATTTTCTCATAATTTCATTGCACTTATTAACATTTTTCAGCAAGTTATGCAGTAAAAGACGAAAACTGTCCATAGTCCATAGTCCGCCGATTTAAAATAAAAATAAAACAATTAAAAACCTTGGTTGTCTATGTCTTCTACACTGATCTGTTTAAATGGATAGACTTGTAAATACAGCTTTTAATTCCTTCCGACTTTAACGTCTTTACTGTTAGTTAAAAACT